TATAGCGTAGTACCCAAAGTGTCTAGACAAACCCGCAATTGGGTTTACGGACACTTTCATATTATTATGTATTAAAATAAATAAATAAAAAAATAATAATAAAAAAAAAACATTAAAGCAAAAACATAAAGACAAATCAAAGCGGCTTAGCTCCGCTGAGCCCAAGCCGTCCGCAGCTTGTCCGCTGCCACGTCGCCGAACACTCGGCTGCGGCGGTTGTTCGGAAAACTTCTGGTAATCCGATGTCGCACCGCTCAAGCTCTCGATAAATTAGGTCAAACGGATTGTGTTCAAGGTTCCTATTCTCACTTGTTACATTTTCTCCGATTACGTCACACTATCTTATAGGATGTTGAGTTAAGCGGCTGTTACGATGCCATTCGCAATACAATCAATCACTATTATTACACTAATATGTTAGAGAAAAAGATCAATCTCATGGAGACATTATTCGTCAACTAACAACTTGTATGGGCTTTGCTAAAGAACGACAATGACAAGGAAAACGGTTTTTCACGCATTTACATTGAAACAAAAAAACGAAGTGAACCCGATACTCTAAAACAGCTACAATCGCATAGTTTGCTTTTATTTTACTACCTATTTGCTATTGTTAGTTTTATAACCATTGAATTGCGTTCATCATAATTCATAACCTATGGAATAGTCTAAAAAAAAAGTTATTTCCAGCATTTATGAACATTATACCACGTCGCTCGCAGTCCGCTCACGTCCGTCTGACAAGAATTCTAAATATACTTTTTAAAAACCAATCTCGCTAGAAGCTGCGTAGTTTTGAATGTAAATCGTCTTGACGTTTAAAATATTATCTTCAGTCACGTAAAGAGCATGCGGAGAAAAAATATTATACGTCTGTAACTTTCTTTTCTAGATTTTTTGCGATAGTTTAGTTTTATGACATAGGTGCGGTTGTGCAAAGACAAGACGTATGAAGAGTAGTACATTCTCTTTCAGACTTCTTAGGCAGGACATTTAGTAGATACTGGTTTGCAGATATTCGGCAATAAGAATGGTTTGAAATAAACGAGATAAAAGTGATGATAAAAGTTTGCGAGTCCGTCGCAGCTCGGCTGCACAGATCGACCAAGTTATTTTCCATTCAGTTCGCCAGAGCTCGGGTCCGGAGATCGAATGGTTTTCATCAGCATTTGCACAAAGTTTACGACGCCGCGCCGCACCGCGCCGCGCCGCACCGCGCCGCACCGCGCCGGCCGCTGCTTTCAAATGCTAATTCAACCATTTATCAATCGATCCGCGCGATCCTTCAATCTACTTTCACCATAAATTGCCATCACCTTACATGTAGCTTGTGTGGTTACGCTACACTGTAGCTGTTGAATATTTAGTGTTAATTTTGATGAGAATCAAATTGGCGCGCTCTCGCAATGAAGCCGACCGTAAAGTTTAATTATAAATTGACATCATACTCGTAATATGTAACACTTCTGTAACATAAGTTCTATAAATTCAAATCAGTACATTTTAATGAAACGTTTGGATTTCAAATTACACTTTTCCTTTTAACATTTCTTGCCAATTTAAATTTTAATGTATTCTACATCAAACGGCGCCGCCGACGCTTAATAAAATATTGTGTTAATTTTCTCAAGTAAATTATTACGCCATTTATTATTAGACCAAATAATTCAAACGAGGTGTGCATTGCAGTAGAAACGAAATCAAAAACTTTTCTATTTATAAAGTAAAATCTTATAAAAGATTCCAACGTTTGCGTACAACTGAATAATTTAAAATATCTGTGGGTGCTTATATTTTATTTCTCTTGCGATGAAAAAAAGATAAACAATGTGTATTAAAGAGTGCGGGAGGTTGGCAGGCAATTTGCAAGGACAATGCGCACAGTAACGACGGCCCCGGGGACCCATTGTACGCATTCCTTGCTACCTATTATCTACTCAAGATTTTTATCTGCGGGAAACCCCACACCGACTTCACAATATTTACATAATGGTATACGTCTTTCATGGTATTGTTATATTCTATTGATGCTGTTCAAATATTTTAAAAACTGATTTGCTATTTTAAAAACTGATGCCACAAGAATTAAACGGCATATACATGACAAAGCAAACTTTGCCCTTTTACATGTGCTACGCTAACACCATACAGTAAGTGTGACGCAATGAAACAAAAAACAGTGAACTGAACATCGCTTTAGCTGTGTAATATTTTTCATGCAAACACAATGAGCTTTGCTATCGGCAACGTTTATACTGTTGCCAATAATTGTCTCGTTGAAATTAATCGTTTCACAATTTATACAATGTACAATGTGAATTATTATTTATTGAACTACGAATAATAATTGGTATATGTTTGAGGAGAGCAATTTGTCTATAACAATATTTAGCAATGTTTTTATAGCTCAAAGTAAAGCCGGATATTTCCATTTAACAAATGGTATCCGTTACATATTGTTTACTTCAACAATTTTGTTAAAGCAAATCTTCGTCCGCAGAGATTTAAGATCCATTAGTTAAGAAGTGATCGATCTCCCGCTGCAGGGTGCGGGCTGCGGGGTGCGGGGTGCGGGGTACCGACGGCTGCAGGGTAAACTTTGAGCGCTGGTGTTGATCATCCGTCATCCTGGAATCTCCCCATCCATTCTGAGATTCTGATAATTTAAATCGTGTATTCAATTCGTGTTAAAAATAATCTTGTATCACAATTTAAATGGGCCGTAGAGATACACACGCTGAACTAAAGACGGAGAAGAACGTCCAAAAAAATCTGAAATATCTGCACAGAGTAGCAGTTTATTAAATAGAATTTCATTACACATTTCGCATTTTAACATGTTAAATTTCGATTTTGTGAAATATTAAATATAGTTATTACTTTTTAAATTGCTTTCAAACTATTTCAAAAGCTCGTTCCGAGAGTATCAATTCGTTTCGTAAAATTTATTCAATAACTATGGAAATATGCGCTGAAGGCAACATCGCGCCGCACACAACGAGTTTGTACAGTTACCTTCCCTATATACTTGTGAATTTCAACTACTGAAATACTCTTACTAAGACGTATAGCTATCTCACTTTTTTATCATTAGGATGAGAAGACCTTCAATATAGTTTTGTAATCCGATTCGGCGGATATGACGGGTTACATTGCAGCTTCATCACAACATGAACCATATTTCAACTACAAAAAGATTTATACTCAAGTGAAAGTACTTCTCTACGCATGTTAGAGAAATGGGAGCAAAATAACATTACAGTAGAAGTACTTTTTAAAATTCACCACAAACGAGTGTATTTTTAGCGAAAGTAATAATAGGCAGAAGTAGCTCCTAAAAGCTTTTTAATATTTCGCAAGCAGCCGCGCTTGTTATGACCGGGGGCTGTAAATTAAATTTATTCGACGCGAATAGAGCTTATCGAATAAACTTTTATAACTTGCACAAATCTAATTTCCTTCTGTAAAACACTTTATTATAGCCTCAGAAAAAAACTTTAGGTTTTTTTCATAGATTTAAATTAAATTACAATCAAATCGAATTCGCGATCGAATCGTTCAGGGTTTAAACAAAAGTATAGAAGCCAAACAGTTGTCTCCTTTTCGTCGATTTTGTAGAGTTAGTTTATTAATAGCAAGTTCCACACACTCGTATTTAAATAAAATCATAAGATCGTTTTCTTGAGCGTCCGTAAAGGTTAGGAAATAAATGTCCTCGACTGTATCTTATGTGTATGTTATATTGTTATTTACTAGACACCCTTTTGCTGGTATTTGGGTCATCCTATCCTTATACGTAAGATTATTTGTTTATCAAACACGACGCCCTCTCGCGGCGGCAGACGTGCATGAAATATGACACAGTATCCACACAACACGCGTCACTTTTTCAATGCATAGAAAAGAGTTATTCTGAAATTCCATTAAAGGTGATTGCCCTAGAGTCGTGATACTGTTGTTTTGTGTCATTGATATTAATAATTTCGCTTCGCAAAAAAGATGGATATTTCATTTAAAGAAGAAGTTTAATGTTATTGAATAATAGCAATAAAAATTTATCAATTTTATTTCAGTGTAATTGCTGAATAAACAGATTTTGTACGAGTAAGCGCAATATTTTTACGTATTTTCTACCCATTTTAAGTAACCTTATAAATTCTGAATCAGCTCGTTTGATAAATTAATAGAATCGAAATTAAAAAAGGTTCAATTGATTGCAAAATAATTTAATTTTCGTCAGAGGACAGATTGGGGAGTGTTCGCCGGCGAGCGGCGAGCGGCGAGCGGCGAACGACGAACGGCCAACGGCGAGCGAGCGCACATCATTCACTTCATTTAAATTGATTCTTAAAACATTTTCTCAATACTGTTGCTTTAAACATTTTTGTAATTCGAATACACTTTTTATTCTTGTCTATTTCGTCTGTCGAATCATTTATTTATCTGTAAAAAAATATAGCATTTGTACACGTGTTTCGGCGAAACGCAACGTTAGCGAGTATGGTATAAACACAATGATTATCATATAGGTGTTAATAAAGATTTCGATTTTAGTAGAAGTTTGCAAGAAAGTCGTCGGTACGCTAAAAACGCAGTACCGAAATTATAAAGTGGGTGCATGGATTAGGAGAAGAAATGGGCTATTATGTTACATAGGGTTTATAAATCGCTAAATGACGCAAAATCCAAACAATTCATTATTTTGAGCAACAAGCTGTGTCAGTACACCACCGCCCCGCTGCCGCTCCCAACTCGCGCCACACAAGCCGACATTCTATCTCTCACACGCGCTACAATATCTACTGTATTATTTTTCCTTTGTCACTGTTTCTGTTGCGATACGAGTCGTGTAATGTGACCTGTTTGCTTGATAATGTTCCTCTCTGTTCGTAATTTGTGTTTCTGTTGTATCATAAAGTATTTTTGAAATGCACAAAAACCATGTAGACATATTTTTAAATGTATTTAACTAAAATTATTAAGAGTTTATAATGTTTGTCATTTTATTATTTCCTTTAACTTGTGTTCCCTGTTTCCTTCAACATAACGATTGTGTGAACCTGTCACCTTCAGCTTGTCTTGCTCAATTTGTGGTCGTCGCCCCCCCCCCATCCCTCGTCCCACCTCTCGCCCCGTTGTCCCTAACACGTTACCACATTTAACTATTTAAAATACCGAAAACATATATAACAATATACCGACGCCGAGAAAAATTACTCGCAAATACATCGGGAGGCGTTAGCGATTATTTTTTGTGTAAATAAATTTCATCAATATTTATACGGGCGGCATTTTACTTTGCGCACGGATCATAAACCGCTCGTATCGATTTTTGGACCAAATACAGGCATTCCTACTATGGTCGCTAGCCGTATGCAACGTTGGGCGATTATTTTGTCAGCTTATTCATTCGACATCGAATATGTATGTACGGAGCAGAACGGCGCGGACGGTCTGTCGCGGTTACCGATCTGCTGTAATAAACAAAGCGAACCGACACCGCCGGAACAAACTTATTTACATTGCATCCAGGATTCGTTATGTTTAGATTATAACGAAATTAAGCGGGAAACGGCCCGGGACCCAATACTTGCTAGGGTATTACTGTACATTCGCGATGGCTGGCCTGCACAATGCGATATATCTAATCTACAACCGTACTGGAACAGGCGGAAAGAGTTGTACGAGGAGATGGGGTGTATAATGTGGGGCCGGCGGTTGGTAGTGCCGGAGCCATGTAGGGAAAAAGTTATCTCAATTATACATGAACCACACATGGGGATAGTCAAATCAAAAGCGCTCGCTCGTAGTTATGTGTGGTGGGCTGGTATAGACGAAGCGGTGGAGCGCGCGTGTCGGGAGTGCGCGGCGTGTGCGGCGCAGGCGGACGCACCGCCACGGCAGACACCGCGTATGTGGCCCTGGCCCGCTAGACCCTGGACCCGTCTGCATTTAGATTTTTTGGGCCCCATCGCCGGAAAAACATTTTTGGTGGTAGTCGATGCCACATCGAAGTGGATTGAAGTATTTCACATGTCCGGTACGTCGGCGAACTTTTTAATCGATCGTTTGAATGAATTATTCAGCAGGTTTGGTTTCCCGAGGCAGATCGTCACGGATAACGGCACACAATTCACTTCAAAAGAGTTTGAATACTTTAATCGGCATAACGGGATAGATCATATCTTTACTCCTCCTTATCACCCATCGTCTAACGGGCTGGCTGAAAACGCAGTCAAAACGCTTAAGCGGATCATTAAAAAAGCTTTGTTAGAGAAGCAGGATATAAACCGGGCTCTGTGGTCGTTTTTGCTTTACTATCGAAACGTAGAACACTGTACGACGGGCGAAAGCCCGGCTATGCTCTTACTTGGGAGGCAAATACGAACGCGCCTAGATGCCATCAGACCGGATCGGGAGCGCCAAGTGCATCGCGCTCAGCAGCGGCAGCAGGAGGCGGCCGCCGGGGCCAGCCGGAGTTTCGATAGGGCGGATACAATTTGGTACAGGCAGTATCTTAAGGGGGAGAAGTGGATCCCGGGACAGGTTGTAGAGGTTCTAGGAAGTAGTAACTTTAAAGTAAGAGGGTCAGACGGCGGTGTTGTGCACAGGCATATTGATCAGTTGCGTAGGAGACCGAGCGAGGGCAGGCAATCGCTTGCGTGTGCCACACCGGGAATCAGGGAGCAGCCAGTCAGCACGAACTCTCGGGACTCAGACCCCGAGGGTGCGGGGTCGGAGGTGTGCGAGTCGGAAGGGTCGGCGGGAGCGGGGGCGTCGCGAGCGGCCGAGCCGGCGTCGCAGCCACAGCCCGCTCCGGCTTCGCCGGGCGGGGCGGGACACTTGTCCTCGGCTGCCGGGCTTAGAGCCCGTCCTATTGGGCAGTGCAGATTAGCTAGGCCTAAGTAGATATTAAGATTTAGTTGTATTGTTTATATTATATTATGGATGTTTTATATTATATTATGTTTAATAGTTGTAGCCTTGGTATTCCTTAGAGTTAAAGTATGAAATGTTTTCATTTGTTGTAAGATAGTTTTAAGATAGTATTCCATTTAAGTGTGGAGGAATGTAGTGTCGGTACCTGTAAATAAACTGTCAATATTATACCTGATTTATATGTGCATAATTTGTGTCAGTCGGATTAAACACCTTGGCCTATACGCACGACTTTTATTTCGGACACCACATAACAAGGTATTTGTTACATTTATTAATTAAAGATATAAGAAGTTTTACTGGAATACTCATTAAGGGTCATTGGCGCCACCTTGCGGCTGAACTTGCAAACTTATTCAATACCGCCGCCGTTCGTTATTGCTCCCCGAGGTGCTTCGTGCTTGTCATTTCGCTCGTATAGAAGTTTTCTTGTTAATTAAATTATTCAAGTCATAAACTTAATGCTATTTGATATACGAGTAGTGTTATTTAACACTTCTAAACTAGTAAACAAGTTTTATATAATAACGTGAGGGTGTGTTATGATGACCTCTAACGTGGTAAAATGTGTAAATTGCAATGTTGTTATTAACGAGCTCCTTGCTTTCGTGAACA